GCAACAGAAATCCTGAGAAAGAAGAACAAAGTTGGAGTAAGCAATATATCAAACTACACTACAAGGCCATGGTAATCAAAACAGCCTGGTACTGGCATAAAAACAGAGACAGATCAATGGAACAGAATAGAGAGCTCAGAAATAAACCCATACCTATATAGTCAATTAATATTCCACAGAGAAAGTAAACATGTAAAATGGGCTAAAGATAGTTTATTCAACAAATTGGTGTGGGGAAGTTGGACAGATACTTGCAAAAAATTGAGATTAGACCACCTTCTTATACTACACACAAAAATAAATTCAAAATTGATCAAAGATTTAAATGTTAGACCTAAAATCATAAAAACTGTAGAAAGAAACATAGCCAGCAAAGTCTCAGACATTGCTCATAGCAATATTTTATCTCCCTGTGCAAGGAAAACAAAAGAAAAAAATAAATGAATGGGACAACATCAAAGTTTTTAAACAGCAAAGGAAACCATCAACAAAATAAAAAGACAACCCATGGAATGGGAGAGTATATTCACTGATACATCTGACAAGGGGTTAATATCCAAAATTTATAAAAAACTTGCAAAACTCACCGCCAAAAAAACAAACACAAGTAAAAAATGGGCAAAAGACCCAAATAGACACTTCTCCAAAGAGGACATACAGATGGCCAGTAGACATGAAAAAGATGCTCAATATCACTAATCATCAGAGAAATGCAAATTAAAACCACAGTGAGATATCATCTTACACAAGTCAGAATGGCTACCATCAATAAATCAACAAACAACTGCTGGCGAGGATGTGGAGAAAGGGAAATGCTTTTGCACTGTTGTTGGGAATGCACACTGGTGTAGCACTGTGGAAAGCAGTATGGAGGTAACTTTAAAAATGGATCTTTGCTTTGACTCAGTGATCCCACTTCTGGGAATTTATCCAAAGGAACCCAAAACACTAATCTGAAAGAACATAAGCACCCCTATGTTCATTGAAGCATTATTTACAATTGCAAGATATGGAAGCAGCCCAAGTGTCCATTGGTAGTTGAGTGGATAAAACAACTACGGGACATTTATACAATGGAATACTACTTGGCCATAGAAAAGAAGAAAATTTTACCCTTTGCGGATGGATGGACCTGAAGAACATTATGCTAGGTGAAATAAGCCAATCAGAGAAAGACAAATACCATATTATTCCATTCCATGGGTTGTCTTTTTATTTTGTTGATGGTTTCCTTTGCTGTTTAAAAACTTTGATGTTGTCCCATTCATTTATTTTTTTCTTTTGTTTTCCTTGCACAGGGAGATAAAATATTGCTATGAGCAATGTCTAATAAATCTAATAAACAAATTGTACTAAAGGAAAATGAGGACAGACTCATAGATGGAGAGCAGGATGACAACTAAGAGAGGGGGAAGTTAGGGCGTGGAGGGAATGAGCAAAAAGGAAAAAGGGCTCAAGGAGATGGACAACAGTGTGATTACTGGAGGGAGGGGGTTATAAGGGGACTAAATGGTAATGGAAAAAATACAATAAAGATTAAATTAAAAAAAAGGCAGAAAGGAATGGATTGGTATATTCAATATAATAAGACAGGGTTTTGCACCTATTTTTAAATGGGGGATTTATTTAACATAAAAGACATAATATGTAATAGCAACATAATTTCTAAAAATAGGAGATAACTATAATCTGTTTGCATTAGAAGATAGTACTAATGATACTAAATACTAATGAGATATTAGAATGAGAGAAGTTTGAGTAGTCTCTTATTCTGTTTTAGTAAGACCAGACACACTGAGGTATTCAATTCTGGGCACCAACCATACTTTGAAATACATGTAGAACCTAGAAACAAATTCAGAGAAAATTATCTAGAATGAGGAAGAAATTCGAAACCACATCATATCAGAAACAGCAGAAGGAGTTGAAAGTGTTGACCTGGAGACGAGAAGATATGGTTACTAGGAGGTCTAGGATCAGTGGGTGTTCCAGGCAGGCAGATTTGGGGTCAGTGTGGGGAAAAAATTCCCTTACAAAACCAGGCATCAGAATATGCCACAGATTGTTTTACAAAGTAGTTTTCCATCATTTGGGGTGTTCAAATGGAGTCTGGATAACAACTTATCTAGGTTGGAGTAGGCTTAATGAACCTATCCAGACCTTGAGCCAATTTACCTTTATGATTTTTTTTCAAAATTCTTGTTTCATAAATCTATAGTTTTGGTATCAGTGGCAGTTAGATGATTGATGTAGTCATTAGTTTCCCACAGTATTATATTTTGGTTCTGCATTTGAAATTTTTTAAAGTTAAATTTATTGGGGTGACTTTGGTTAATAAGGTTATATGAGTTTCAAGTGTAAAATTCTATGGTACATCATCTGGTATTGCATTGTTTGCCCACCATCCAAAGTCAAATCATCTTCATCACCATATGCAGGGGTCTGGCACAAATAATGCCCCTGCTTTTTATTACAAAGTCTTATTACAGAATCATAAGCATGCAATTCCATAACATAACAATGTCACATTCAAGCATACCATATGACAATTTAGGTGAAATGTTCAAATTAAAACTATAAATCATTACACCCCTATTAGTACTCCACCAACCACACTGAAGCAGGCCTTATTTTTACCAGACCCTGTATCCGACCCCCCTTAACCGTTTTTACTCCCTTAGCTCCCTTCCCTCTGGTAACTACCATACTGTTGTCTGTGTCTAGGAGTTTTTATTTGTTTGTTTTTCTTGTTGTCCATTTGTTGCTTTCAATTTTATATCCCACATAGAGTGAAATCATATGGTTTTTAACTTTTTCTGACTTTGCTTAGCATGATATTCTGAAGATCCATGTATGTTCCTGCAAATGGCAGTATTTCATCCTTTCTTTTTTTAATTGTTATTCTATTACAATGTTACAATTTTTTCCCCTTTGCCCCACTCTGCCCAGCCCACACCCCACTCCCACAGTCCATCCCCATCCCATTGCCCATGTCCATGGGTCATTCATACATGTTCTTTGACTAGGCCCTTCCCCTTCTTTCCACCATTCTCCCCCTCCCTACTCCCCTGTGGTCGCTGTTGGTTTGTTCCACCTTTCCATGCCTCTGGTTCTATTAGCTGAGTAGTATTCCATTGTATAATAGGGGCTTGGCCAAAAAGTCTGTTTAGTTTTTTCTGTAAAATAAAAGACACATTTTTCATTTTCACCAATAACTTTATTGATTTGGATGTTTTGAGGATGTTGGCTCTGTCCCATGTGGTATAGTGTTAATTGATCTCAATTAACATCTCAATTTGATCACTGTCAACTTCAACTGGTCTGCCTGACCATGGAGCATTGTCCAGCACAAAACTTTGTGAACCGCTTTTGACATGATCAGTCACAGCACCTTCTCTGTACACTGCACAGATCTTCTCTTGCATTTCACTTGTGTTTTTACCTTTCTTGAAATAACAAGGCATAATATGCCATAAATGTATATTTTTATCCATCTAAAATATTAAAATGGCCATTCAAAAATTCACCAATATTGATTTTTTTTTAGTGCATGCTGATATGGCAGCTGTTACAATACAGTCTGACAAAATTGTTTCAAATGAAGTGTTTCCAAATTTTTCTGGTACATACCCAAAAGAGGGGTTTCTGGGTCATAGGTTAACTATATTTTTAATTTTTTGAGAAGTCTTCATACTGTTCTCCATAGTGGTTCTACCTCTTTGCTTCCCCACCAGCAGTGAATGAGTGTTCCTTTTGCTGAACAACCTCTCCAACACTTATTATTACTTGTCTTGTTGACAATAGCCATTCTAACATGTGAAATTTTTATTATTGAAGTTTAAATGTGCAAAGTTTTACTGTATAAAAATGTATTCTTAGTTGATTTTAACCACTCTCATGTAATAGCATTGACAGGCAGTGTGGTGGTCGCACTCTTCGTTACAGGAGCCCTTTCTGCAGGCTTAAGGGAGGTTAAATTAAGAGTAAGTGCTTCTCTAATAAACCACGTGTTGTTTTCCTTTCAGTGCCCTGGAGCAAATGTTTAATGAAGCTGCCTTTTTTCCTTTGTGAACAGTAAGACAAGTAGAGGCTACTTGAGAAATATTTGTATACTTGACACAGAAAAAATAATTATCTCTCTCTTAACTTTGCTAAAATTCTGTTTTTTACTGCCACAGTGTTGTCCAGAGATAGGTGAACATTATTTCTGAAGAAAGTAAGAGAATTTAGCTGACATACACATTGTAGATAAATATGATACAAATGGTTACAGGCATGGGTGTTGGTTTTAAATAGACCTGGGTTTAATCCTAACTTCTCTGCCTACCAGCTGGTTATTTAACTTCAATAGATTCCTTTTCCTTATCTATAAAAAGGGTATAACCATAACTACCTGAGGGGAAAAGGACTAATTTAGGAAGAAGAGATTAGGTTCAAAGGGTTTCTGCTATTTGTAGTTTTATGATAGAATCTTAAAAATTCTGTAAAAATCATAGAATGTTAAAACTCAACAGAAATTAGAGTTCATTTGGCTCAATGTCCTGATTTTATAAATGAGGAAACTAAGATCTGAAAATGCCTTGAGGTGTCTGCAGGATCACAGTGCAGTTGAGTGCAGGGCCAGTGCTTTCTTCCCACTTCATGGAAAACTCATCTTAAAACAAAAACTGTGAAGATGTTTTCATCATTTTTAGTTTGATTTTATGGAAAGTATTTCAAGAGTAAATCTTTCATAGAGATACCATGTAGAAATAATTACTCTGAAAATTCCTTTTCTAATTCCAAGATTTTGTGTCAGAATCAAGATCATGCCAATTTAAACAATTTTATGCAGATGTAAGCAGTGTCATAATTATTACTCCATGACATAGTACGGTATACATTTACTTCATTTGACCAGCATAGTTGCAATAACATCTTGAAAATAACATCTTCAGTTGAACTTTATTTTTCGAAATTAAAAAAACATTGTCTCAGTAAATGTATATTCTATTTTCTAGATGTCCCCTGAAGAAAAAGTTTGTAAGTACTGTGGAGTCAGCTATCTAATTCTCCATGAGTTTAAAGCTATGGAAGAAAAAGTGAAAGCGATGGAGAAAGAGATGAAATTTTATCAAGGAAGTATAGAACGTGAAAAGAGACTTCAAGAAAAGCTGCATGCTCTTAGCCAAGATTTTGAACAGTACAAAATTGACAATGACTCCAAAACAGAAAGGTTAGAGTGTGTTATTCTTTTCTGTTATTTATTTAGTTTGAGAGAGAAGTACAGAAAATAAATAGACTTTCAGTGCTTTTCTAGAATCTCTCTGTATCAGGTATAATTTATACTTGAATACATTTGAGTTTATTTATTAATAATTACTAAGTATAATTATTAATGATAGTTTGAGCATTCTTTGAGACATATATTTACTCTCTGAATAATTTCTAAGAGAAATAATTTCTCTTAGAAACCAATTAATTCAGTAACTTGAAGTTGAAATAGGTTAAGTTTTATTTTTCCCCAGATATCTTAATCTTATCATTAGGAAGATTTGTCTGTCAAAAATCAGGTGAACTTTGGTAGTTTTTGATGCCTAACATTTGTTTTAAGTTGAATAGTTAGATTTGTAAGGTAAGGTTTTCTTATTTTATATCTTATAAATCTAATCTAAATCTTATAAATCTAACATTAGATTTATCAGATTTTCTTATATCTTATAAATCTAATCTAAATCTTATAAATCTAACATTAGATTTATGAGATTTTCTTATATCTTATAAATGTAATCTAAATCTATAAATCTAAGATTTAGATTTAAATCTAAATAGTAAGTTGAATATTTAGATTTATAAGGTAAAGTTTTCTTATATCTTAGAAATCTAATCTAAATCTTATAACTAATATTAGATTTATGAGATGTTTTATATCTCATAAATCTAATCTAAATCTATAAATCTAAGATTTAGATTTAAATCTAAATATTCAACTTAAATATTCAACTTAAATCTAAATATTAAGTTGAATGTTTAGATTTATAAGATAAGGTTCTCTGTTTGGAAAGGATGCCTAAACATTTAAATTGTCACGTGATTCTAAGTCACTGAAATTGGAATAAAGTTAAATAATGAGTTTGTAATGCTAGCAAATCTAACCAACAGTTTAGTCTTCTTAGAGACACTTTAATGAGCTGATATAAACACTTCTACAGAAGGATTTTTTGCTGTTTTATGTCCTTACGTATGAGTGAATGTTTCTCCATTTAAAATACCAACAGTTGATGTTAGTAAAATTTGAATTAATGAGTACAACGAATATCACCGTGTCCTTACAAAAACAGAAATTTTCTTAAATCCCTTACTATTAAGTACTTTTACTAAATTTTATTACAAATTTTAATAATTACATTAAATTTCAATTGAGTCTAACATTTCTTAGTTCTTTACCAAGAAAATTTTGTTATAGTTTTTAACATTTCAAATCTAAATAATAAAGTATTTCACACCATTTGAGTGGAAAAAGAAAAAATTTGAAGTATTCAGTTTAAAATTTAAAATTTGGAGGGTTTTTGCCTGTCAGATTCTTTTTGTTTTGTGTTATTTGCACTTTACTTTATTTAATAATATATTATATTATGTAAGTACATAAACATGAAATAAAAGAAGTATGTAGAAGAAAAGGCAAGAAAGTCCCTTTTTATCCTGTAGATTGTTTTCTTCGTACTGGAGATAAAACCATTTTTAATGGTTTGATGTATATTCCTCATTGTGTTTTTACCTTTATTATAGATATAGTTCTTTAATATATGTAATATATATAAGCATGAAAAATGTTTATCTTTCAATAGACTAGTTTTTAACATATTACCAATATATTAAATTTATCATTTTGTGACTTTTGCCACTTAACTGTATATTTTGGAAATTGTTCCACGTTAATGCATATAAATCTACCTTGTTCTTCACTGCTGCAACATTTTCCTTACAAAGGATACTCTAAAATTACTTAGCCATTTCTCTTTGCAACATTTAGATTATTTTCAATATTTATTATTATATGTAGTTCTAAATTTATATTTGTGTATACATATTTTCCATAGGATAAATTTCAAGATGCCAATCCATCAATTTTGAAATGCCAATTTCAAATTTTGATGGACATTATACCATATTGTCCTTTGAGAAAATAATGGTACCTTTTTTTGGCCAATAGTTTATAAAGTGGTTATTATGTCTTGTTAATATTGGTATCTTCTTAAATTTTTTCAAATTTTCACTTTTTTCTTAAGTGGAAAAATATTACTTCATCATTATTTAATTTGTGTTTTATTGCTAATGAAATTGAACATTTTTCATGTTCACTAGACATTTACATTTCTACCTCTACTAATTACGTGTTCATATATGTTGTTCAAATTTCTATTGGGTTATTTATTTTTGTTTACTTATGTGAGTTTTAATATAGTATAAACATTATAATTTGTTTATATCTGTTGCTAATATTTTCTCAGGGTTACTCTTAATCTTTTTCTGTATTGATTTTTTAATATCCTTTGGCAAATTCTGGTCAGAGTTCTTTATAGTTGTTTGGGGTTTTTTTTGGTTACAAACAACAGAAACTTATTCTGGCTAAGACTAACCTAGTGTTAGATTCAGGCAAGTTGTAAAAACAACATATAGGGTGGAGCAAACATAGATTTATAGTAGTTCGTATGGAAAATATTGTAATAAACAATCATACAAGGATAAACTTTATTTTGCATACTCACAACTGTAAACCTTCATTTGCCCTGCCCTGTACATTTGAGTTTCCTCCATGTCTTTTCATAGCTTGATGGCTCATTTCTTTTTAATGTTGAATAATATTCTATTGTCTGAATATACCACAGTTTATCCACTCACCTACTGAACCACATCTTGGTAGCTTCTAAGTTTTGGCCATTATGAACAAAGATGTTATAAATATTCATGTGCAACTATTTGTATAGATAGTGCATTTTCAACTCCTTTGGGTAAATCCTAAAGGATATGATTACTGGATCATGTGGTATGTGTAGTTTTTTAAGAAGTCACCAGACTGTTTTCTATTGATTTCCTGTTTCAATTTCATTGATTTCCGCTCTAATTACTATTATTTCTTTTCCTTTGCTTGCTTTGATTTAATTTGCTCTTCATTTTCTAGTTTCCTAAGGTGGAAGCTTAGATTATTGATTTTATATCTTTTCTCTTTTCTAATATTCAATGCTGTACATTTCCCTCTAAGCACTGCTTTTGCTGCATCCTACAAGGTCTAATAAGTTGAAAATTTCAATTCATTTTCATTTAGCTCAAAGTTTTAAAAATTTCTCTTGCCATTTCTTCTTTGACATTTTTGTTATTCAAAAGTATGTTGTTTAACCTCCAAGTATTTTGGAATTTTTCAGTTTTCTGTTTGATTTCTAGTTTAAATTTTTGTGGTCTAAGCACAGACATTGTATAATTTTAATTTTTAAAAATTTGTTAAGATGTGTCTTATCACCCAGAATGTGGTCTATCTTGGTGACTGTTCCATGTGAGCTTGAAAAGAATGTATATTCTGCTGTTGTTGGATGAAGAAGTCCATAGATATCAATTATATTAGTTGATTGATGATGCTGTTGAATTGAAATAGGTCTTTACTGATTTTCTGTCTAATGGTTCTATCAGTTGCTCAGAGTAGAGTATCAGAAGTCCCCAACTCTCATTGTGGATTTGTCTATTTCTCTTTGAGTTCTATAATTTTTGCTTCACAAATTTTGTAGCTCTGTTTTTGGTGTGAACACATTTAGGATTTTATGCCTTCCTGGTGGATTGATCCTTTTATCATGGTATAATGTCCTTCTTTGTCTCCATTGTTTTTCTTTGCTCTGAAGTCTATCTGATATTAATAAAGCCACTACTGCTTTAAAAATACTGCTTACATGGTATATTTTTTTCCATTCTTTTACTCTCAACTTACCTATGTCATTTAATTTGAAGTGAGTCTTATAGATAGCATATTGTTGAATCATAGATTTTTAAAACCTACTTTGCCAGTCTCTTTTAAGTGGTGTAGTGTATTTGGACCATTCACTTTTAAGGTAATTATTGATACATTAGGGTTTAAGTAGGCTATTTTATAGTTTGGGTTTAGTTTCTTTCCTCTGGTTCTCATCCTCAGTTTCTCTTTCTCTTTTTTTTCCCCTTTATATTGGTTTTTTGAACATTTCTAGGATTATATCTTGATTTCTTTTTTTTTCTTTTTTTTTTAAAGATTTTATTTATTTATTTTTAGGGAGGGAAGGGAGGGAGAGAGAGAGAGAGAGAGAGAGAGAAACATCAATGTGTGGTTGCTGGGGGTTATGGCCTGCAACCCAGGAATGTACCCTAGCTGGGAATTGAACCTGCGACACTTTGGTTCCCAGCCCGCGCTCAATCCACTGAGCTACGCCAGCCAGGGCATATCTTGATTTCTTGACAGTGATTTTAAGCATATCACTTTGCCTGTAGGTTTCTTAGTGGTTGCTCTAGCTGTTGCAATACAGGTATATAACATCATAGTTTAATTATGATGTGTCTTGGCATGGATTTCTTTGGGTTTATTCTTTTTGGATAAAATAAGATCTTTTCTACAGCTTGTTGAAGCTGTAGGTTTATCTCTCTTGCCATATTTAGGGAGTTTTCAGCTATTTTCTCTTTGAATGTTATTTAAACCTACTTCCTCTCTTTTTCTTAGATTCTGGACATATGAATGTTAGCTCTTTTGTTGTTATCCCACAGGTCTCTGAGACTCTGTTCATCATTTTTTTCTGTTTGTTTTCTCTCTGCTGTTCAGAGTGGGTGAATTCTGTTGATATATCCTAAAGTTCAGTGATTCTCTCCTATTCTCTCATTATACTCTGCTATTGAGCCCATCCAGTGAGGTGTTTTTTATTTATTTATTTTTAAAAAGATTTTATTTATTTATTTTTAGAGAGGGAAGGGAGGGAAAAAGAGAGAGAGAGAAACATCAATGTGAGGTTGCTGGGGGCCGTGACCTGCAACCCAGGCATGTGCCCTGACTGGGAACCGAACCTGCAATGCTTTGGTTCGTAGCCTGTGCTCAATCCACTGAGCTACGCCAGCCGGGGGTGTTTTTTATTTTTTGTTTTTATCAGTTACTATGTTTTTCAGTTATATAGTTTCTTTTTGGTTCTTTTTTGTAAATTTTGTGTCTTTGAGATTTCCTTTGGTTTCAAG